AAATTAAAAAACAAAAACAAAAAAACCCAGCCCTAGCCGGTTTGGCTCAGTGGATAGAGCGACAGGCTGCAGATCGAAGGGTCCCAGGTTCGATTCCGATTAAGAGTACATACCTTGATTGCAGGCTTCTCCCCGGCCCAGGCTCTGGTTGGGGTGTGTGCAGGAGGCAATCAATCGATGTGTTTCTCTCACATCAATGTTTCTCTCTGTCTTTCCCTCTCTTCCATTCCCCCTAAAAAAAAAAATCAATGAAAAAGATATCCTCTAGTGAGGATTAACAACAACAAAAAAAGAACAGCACTTTTTTCCATAACTCTGTGACCTTTATGGAGGGTCCAGGGGCTGCTGAGGCAAGAGGGCTGCACGTCCCTTCCCTTCCCTTCCTTTTCCTTCCCTTCCCTTCCCCCTTGACCTCTGGACACATCCTCATAACGCCAGTCATGTTCCCATGGAAATCACTTACAATGGCAGCCTGTTCAGAAATGCAGCAGCGATTATCTGCAGCCTGGTTGGGTTCTTGCTTTTGTAAAACCTGCACTCTGTCCTTTAAAGGGGTCAAGTTTAACAGGCAGTCCTTTTTGTCTTAACAATTGACACACACAAAAAAATACAGAACAAAGAATTGTCTTTAGTGGGGGGAAAAAAACAATTGTCTAACCAGGCTTTCATTTATTTAGCCCTCCCTCCTTTTTTATTGTTTCCCTCTCATCTACCTTTTTCCACTGTGTGCTGCTGAATTTGGCCAGTGCCAAATTATGTTTTATTCTCAGCCTGAGTAAGAAATTATCAAGGTGTAAAGTCTGACCAACAAAGGTCCCATCCTACCAGCACAATTTGAAGTTTCAAGTGTATACAGACACCACTCCCTCCCAGCATGTTTTTGTCCTAAGAAATCCCAGAGAGCAGAATTCTTGGGTAGACAAGAAAGACATTTTCTCACAAGAGCAGCAGTAGTGATAAGAAAGTGGTCAAATGGTGCTTGAAATTTTGCACAAAGATCCGTGAGAGACCAGGCGCTGGGCTACAAACCCACAGCTCAGCTCTTTTTAGCATCCAGGCAATAGCCTGCTGTTTTCCCAGGTGGCTCTGAATGAGACAGGGGAATGCAGGGGCCATTTGTCACTGCCCCAGGTGCAATAGTCATGCCAGTTGGTACATGCAGCCTGCAGGGCCCACTCCTGCCCATGTCTGGATCAAGTCCTCTGGGCTTCCTTTTGATGGAGATTGCGGAGAACATGTCCCCTTCTATGCTCCTCCACCTGAGCCAATGATTAGATTCACTCCTTTGGGGCTGGAACCAATTCAGCCTTCCCGACCATGATCAAAAGTGCCCATGCTCTGTGTGATTCCTTCCACTCCATTTTCAACTCAAGAAACAGGGTGTTTTGTTTTGTTTTTGTGGGGAGGTGGGGGTAGAGGGGTTGAGCAAAAAAGAGAGAGAAAAGACAGCTTTTTTAGAAGTGTGGAGATTCAATATGCCAGTCTTAGAATCTCAAGGTTATACTGGTCAATGGATGTGCTGGTGTGCCCTTCAGTGCGCGCTGGACTGGAGTCTCGCTTCAGCCAGGTCCTAAGTTGGGCTCAGGGTTCTGCAGAGATGCACAAGGAAAGAGTCAGGGCTTGCTTGCAGGAGAAGGCAAAGTAGGGGAGCCTTGTGTTCCTTTTTGCCCAACTCAGTGCCTGGCGCCCACTGTGAATGGAATAAACTGATGAGATAGATAGCTGATAATAGCCCTGATGCCTTTGAGAAGAGAAGTGAACTGAAGTACATCATCCAGAAGTCAAATTACAGATATAAAATAAGATTAAAGGAAACGCTGCTTTCTAGAATTGTTTTAAGGGTATTTCATTGCAAAATGAGGTTATGCATTTAGAACTACTTCCTTTGATGAGGATTTAGTCTAGGTTATAAGTAAATGAACTTGGAGACATTATGCGCCTGAGAGACCTAAGCACTGACAGCCCTGGTCTCATGGTCTCACTCTGTGCATCCCTCCTCCGCCTTCTTCCAATTCCATCCAGTGTAGGAAGGACGCGTTTGGCTCTCTGAGTTGGAATTATGCAAAACCCCAAAATAGATGCTCAAAGTGCACCCAGACATAATGATTCCATGTGGCAAGAAGGTCACTGTGTCTGCTTTTCCTGCCAAGACACCCCTGGCTCTTAATCTATGGCTGCCTTGTGAAGCAAGAGAGCTGTGCCAGGAAGTTACACTCTGTGACTGTGAGGCATCATGAGAATTTAAAATCATGTCAATGGGGTTTTATAAGGGCAAGTCAAGGGAGTAGGATTAGACATAGTTTTAGAAGACGGTCTTTGAACATCCTTTTTTTCTGTGGCCTGAGAGCTACCATAACTCAGTTAAAATAAAATAAAAACCACACTATCTGGCCCCAGCTGCAAATCCACTCCACCCTGCCAATTCTGCCAAAAATTAAAAAGACAGCCACCCAAAAAGTGTACTGCGATTATCTGAGTGGTGAGGTTATGAGTTAGTTTTATTGTTTTCTTGGTGCTTTTCTGTACTTTCCATAGCATATACTTCCTGGTTTTCTGGTGCTAAAAAAAAAAAAAAAGCAACAACTCCTATTTAAAAAGCAAAACTATACTAGCTGATTGTTTAGGTATGTTCCTTGAATGCTCAGTAAGTACCTGGTGGTTGAGAAGCCCACCAGAGTCATGACAATGGCAGCCCTGCCTCTTCCCCCATCTCAGGACTCAGAATAGAGTTGGTGTTCACAGCCCTGTCAAGGTTCCAAAAGGCTCCTGGAGAGGCCAGACCGCAGACCATGAGAGGACTCATGGCAGCCAAGGAGCACAGGAAAGGGCGCGTGCTGAGCCAGACACCTCCGCAACAAGGAAGGGATTCCATTCCCATCCGTTGTCTTTGGTGGTCAGGCCTGCTTGACACGTGCTTGTTGGGAGGGACAGTGTCAGCTCAGTTCATCTGGAAACATTACATTCTCATCCTAAGAATGTCCAGTTGGTGCACATTTTTTTAGAAATTGGGAAGATCCTGTTTTCCAGACTTGTAGGAGTCAAGTAAAGTGTAATAAGTAGAGACATATATCTGGGAGCAAACAACCTTTTCAAGAATTTCAAAAATTCTCTTAGGGTTCGGGGGGGAAGATTCATTTAGACCTGGGGCCTTGACCATTCAGACTGGTTATTGACCATGAACTCCATCTGCCAACCAACCCTGCCTCTGTCTAGGTTGTGTCGGGCTCAGAAACTTGAGGGGAACAGGCTGAGCAGAAATGGACTGAATGGACTGGGAAACTATGTCATCTCACCCTTAGACATAAATAATTCCACATGAGATTTAATATTGAATGTAGTGGGGCTCCTCACTCCAGTGGGCCTCGCTGCCTTGAACTTGAGGTCAAGTTCAAGCCCATGCCACACAGATCAGAAACGGAATTCCTAGCAGCTTGCATGATAGACTATGTGTCAGGGAGCTAAGGCTGTCATTAAGAATGGATTATTATTGTGGGGTTTTGTTTTTGTTTTTGTTTTTGTTTTTTTGGTTAATCCTCACCCGAGGATATTTTTCCATTGATTTTTAGAGTGGAAGGGAGAGGGAGAGACAGAAACATCAATGTGAGAGAGACATATTGATTGGTTGCCTCCTACACGCACCCTGACCAGGGCTGGGGAACCTGTAACTTAGGTATGTGCCCTTGACCGGAATCTAACCCAGTACTCTTCAGTCTGTGGGCTGATGCTCTATCTATCCACTGAGCCAAACTGGCTAGGGCAAGAATGGATTATTTTTAATAGGCAGTAGAGATCTCACTTATCAGTTTCTTCCATACTCTTATGTGTTCCTTTATGACAATGCAGTGTCCATAGATTTTAGGTAGTACATAAATAAACAAAACTCAATACTAGTGTATTTATTGTAATGTCTATTAGGAAAAAATGTAATAAGATCATCCAATTAGTCATTTTATTAATAACTTTACTTAAGAATAAAGAAAATAGGTTAAGTTTTTAAGGGAGGTTAATTTTCAAGACATAAGTAGATAATCCTATATAACAAAACCCTAATATGCAAATCAACCAAACAGAATGACCAGTTGCTGTGATGTGCACTGACCACCAGGGGGCAAGATGCTCAACGCAGGAGCTGGCCCCTGGTGGCCAGTGTGCTCCCACAGGGGCAGTTCACGGCTGGCGAGCACAGCAGCAGTGGCGGGAGCCTCTCCTGCCTCCGCTGCAGGCAGGTGGTAAGGAGCGAGGGGTCCAGGACTGTGAGAGCCCAGACTGTGAAAGGGATGTCTGACTGCCGACAGGGATTGGGCCTAAGCCAGCAGGTGGACATACCCCGAGGGGTCCCGGACTGCGAGAGGGCACAGGCCAGGCTGAGTGACCCCCCCTCCCCTCCAGTGCATGATTTTCATGCACGGGGCCTCTAGTTGTATTATAAGCAAAGATATAGCAAAAGTCAGAATGGTTGTTCATTAATTGAATGATTCATGTTTGGCAAATATTGTCCTACAAGGTGTTAGTTGGCCAGATTTTTTTTAATTTTTTTCTCTTTCTCTCTCTTTTTATTAATCTTAGTATCTCAGAATTAAACTGCATGGGGAATAAATTGCTTCCAAGAATAAAATAGTTGCGATCAGTAATAATGATTCTAGTAATTTTTAGAGAGTGTCAACAAAGACTTATTGCTTCTCTGGTGCAGAGCGGGAGAGCTGCTTATCTTCTCTTCTGATCTGGCTTTGGAGCCATCATTCCCTCCTCTCTCCCAGAGCAGGGATCCTAATGTTTATGTACGCTGACATGCTCGCTGTCTTGTTCAGAGCCACCTCCACTGTTTCTTGTGACTTCTGTGTGTGTGCGCGTGCATATTAAACGGTAACAAGATAATGAGCCACGTCTAGGCTACCCCTGTTATTTATATTAAATAATGACACGATGATGTTGGTAGCCTGTAATTCTCCATTTCCTATTAACCACCCTGCCCAAGTAAACTGTTTTCTGATCTCTCTTAGATGGAAATCCTGTATGAATGCGGAAGCCATTAGCAGAGTAATTGCTGTCTGTTACCATGACAACCAGCCGCTGCAGTCACCTGCCAGAAGTGCTGCCAGACTGCACCAGCTCAACTGTGCCCCTGGTGAAGACTGTGGAGGATTGTGGCAGCCTAGTGAATGGGCAGCCGCAGTATGTCATGCAAGTTTCGGCCAAGGACGGGCAGCTGCTGTCAACAGTAGTACGGACTCTTGCCACCCAGAGGTAGTACCACAATTAACAGTAAAATAAATGAACATGTAATTGATCTGAGGGACTCTTTGTCAGATGGGGAAAAAAAGGGAATGTAATTAGTGCTCAGGTCTTTGTGTCAGGTGAGAGGTGGTAGGGGAGAGGGTGGGGGAGGGGAGACTACACAAATTCTGTTTCTATAGCAATAGGGTATAAGCTAAAATTCACGAATTTCACTTAAAGACACACTTGCAGAGAGCCAGGCAGGGAAGGATCCCTCAAGACAGAGTCCCTTGCTTTACATTTATTTTGACATTACAACAGTAATTACACTCATTGTCTCCAGGCAGTGACAAAGATAACCCTATATTAGAATAGAATGAAGGAGGCACTGATTTCAGGTGACTGAGCCAAAGTAATTGGATTTGTGGGCAAAACCTTTGAAGTGCTACTCCTGGTGTGCATGCCAATCAGCACTGCCTGATAGGAGCTCTTACCAGGACCACTTCCTGGGCATGTCTCTTCTCTGGCACATCCCCCTTGGGGACCTCTTCTATTGCTCCCTCCTTTGCTCCTCATGGGCCCCCCATGATCCTTCATACACACCCTGCCCTATGAAGTTTACTATTGTTAAAACCCCCACACTTGTCTCCCCTGAGTGATGAACCAAAGCAAAGCTAAAGGCTTTCAACAGCCCAGAAGTGGCTTATTCAGGCCAATACTTTGTCCCTGGAGGCCTCTTCTTGTGCTGTTACTGCCCAGTGACAGATTGACAGCTACAGGCTGCCTGGCCAATAAGTACACCCTGGCTTCTCCAGCTTTCTTTCAAAATGGGTAAGTGGGACCTTGACCTATGGATGTAACATGTATATCCGCACTGGACTTGCCTCCTGATATCAGCGCTGACTCTTCTAACCCTGAAATGTGGGTCTGTCACTCACACCTGGACCACATACCTCGGTCTGAGCAATTTAGCCAACCCCTCCAATGTAGATACAGGTCCACAGATCTGAGCATGTGCCTACAGCACTACCACTGGGCCACTGCCATATTTTCTATTGCCTTCAGCCTGGACGTGGTGTCCGCCAGACATGGACTCACACATCCATGCATGTCATAAACATTGTCCATGTACTTTCAATTTGTGCTGCTATGGCAAAGGGAAGTCATGGAGGGGAAGGAAGTCAATATGTATTTTTCTACCTCTTGAGAAGCTTCTACACAATTGTTAGGACTCAGAATACAATGAGGCAGTGAGCATCACTGCTCATCTGTGAACTGAGACAGATAGCTGATGTGTACCTGTCACCCTTGCAGGCATCAAACACTTCGGTTGATTGGGAACAACAGGCTACAGCAGTAAAATGAGACTTGTGAGCCCCAGTGTGTGAATGTGCATGTGTGTGGGGGGGAGGGGGGATTTTTATGTGTTCTCCCATCACGTAGTAATGTAAATGAGAAGTGGCTCATGCAAGTGGCTCAATGTGAATGAAGGAGGCCGTTGATAAAAAAGGGAGAAAAAGTCAACTCTTTAAACTTTATTGTCCTGCCCCTGAGCATGAGTGAGTCTTTTGGGCAAGTGAGGAGGAGGTCCTTTTCTCTTTTAATCCCCTTTCAGCCTTCACTCATTCCCAGGATCATCCCTGGAAAGGCCTGTCGGAAATGGCAGTGTGTCTATGACTGTTTCCATTTGGACCAAAGATGGTGTCAGAGAGTGGTGGCCATGAGCCTGGGTCACTCTCATCTTTGGGGGACAGGAAGAGGCAGGGGAGAGCGGGTAAAGAGCTTGGTCCTCAGGTTGGCACATACAATGATGACATATTTTAAAATCTAATGCCTAATAAAGGTGAGTTTGAGCAATATAAATACATGTCGATCAGAAAGAGATAGTCCTCTTAGTGGATACAGGACACCGTATCCACTGAGAAGTGAGGTCATCTTTACTTGACCCTTCCAATGACTGCTAGTTTATGGTCATTATTTGATTTCCATGACCTGAATTTTTCTACGAGTGAAAACAACACTAGCTCAGCATTTACTATATTCTGGTCCCAATTCTAAGCTTCTCATCTGGATTATCTTTTCTCATCCTCACAATCACCATATGAGGAAGGCACCATTCTCTGTACCCATTTTAGAGATGAGGAAACTGAAGTACAGAGAGATGATGTTACTTGTCCAAAGCTAGCCAGCTGGTAAGTAGCAAGCTGGTGTTCGAGCCCAGGCCACTAGATGCCAGAGCCTGCCACAAGAACCACTATATCAGGTGCCTCCACAAAACATGCAGGGGTGATTTTTTTTCAAATTAAAGGCAGAGCTCTAGACAGAGGCCACCTCGGTAAAAGGTGTCCTCTCATTACTCACTTTCAGCTTAGTGTCCTTAACATCCCAGAGAGCATCCTACGAAAGTCCTGCTACTCAGCTTTGTGCTGTGGCTCAGACCGCCCTTCTGTGTGGCGGTTTTGGGTTGGCAGCCAGTTTACTCCCCTCTTCTCAGCCTCACACCCATTGAAAGCAGAAATGAAAGGAACCTCTGTGTATTCAAGTGTCCTGGCCAGGTTTTAAAAACACAGTTTGTCCAGAAATTACAATTGGTATCATTTCAAAGCAATTTCTGTCCTTAATGGCGAGGGATGGTTTTTATTTTTTAATTGGTGTTTGCCTGGATTACATCTGTACCCAAGACAAAAATAGCATGCTGCTTGTTTTTACTCATTTTTGGCCCTGGGCCACTCCCCATTCCTTTGTATTGGCAAAAGAGATGCTCGAGGACCATGGCACTGGCCCCACTGCCAAGTACAAGTGTAGATCTAGGGTTTGGTTTGGTTTTGTTTTTTGTTAATCCTTACCCATTTCTTTTTAAAGAGAATGGGAGGGAGGGGGAGAAACAGAGAAACATCGATGTGAGAGAGACACATCAATTGGTTGCTTTCCGTACACCCCGGATCGAGCCTGCAACCAAGATATGTGCCCTTGACTAGAATCGAATCCGGAACCCTTCAGTCCTCAGGCCGACGCTCTATCCACTGAGCCAAATCAACTAGGGTTAGATCTGGGGTTTTAAAGCAGTTGTTTTTTCTGAGCAGCTGCCGCTGGGGAAGGGTGAAGGACACAGAGCCAGAGGATCATCCACGTGGCAGTGGTTTCTAGCCCAGTGACCAGTAGGTGCCCCTCCTCTCTTGCAGCCCCTTCAATGACCGGCCGATGTGCAGGATCTGCCACGAGGGCAGCAGCCAAGAGGACTTGCTCTCTCCATGTGAATGTACGGGGACCTTGGGGACAATTCATCGGAGCTGCCTAGAGCACTGGCTGTCATCCTCAAACACCAGCTACTGTGAACTCTGCCACTTCAGGTTTGCAGTCGAGCGCAAACCCAGGCCGTTAGTGGAGGTCAGTAATTGGGGCACGTCCCGAAAACTTAGCTCTAATGAGCAAATGATGTCTGCTTTTATGCCCAGATCACAAACCCTGTGCAGCTTCACTGAAGCACGGAAATAGCTTTGTATGAGAGTGTGTGCGTGCATAGGTGACACAGATGGAGAGAACTCACTAGCTCATTCAGGAGCAGCAGTAAAAGTTGACCTCCCTGAGGTGGAGACAGAAGAAGCAACCAATCAATGGGTGTATTCTGAAAGGTCTTTATGAAAAAGTATTGCTGCATAGTGGTTTGAATAGTTCCGTGACCCATGTAAGTTTCTTCACCTCTTGGAAGTGCTATGAGGATTAAGTGAGTTAATGTTTATAAAGCACTTAGAAGAATACTGGGTATACAAGTGTATGATTTTTTTTTTCAACCTCTCCCAGGAAATTTATACAAGTTTTTTTCAATTAATAACCTAGTATTAGAATCTCTTTTCTTAAAAGGTGGTGTTATCAAGCCAGCAGTTAAAATGGTGGGACATTCTCTTTTATGTTTTAGGAGCCACATGATTCTTCTTTAGACCAAGGGTCTGGTCTTGTATGAGCTGGGGAATTGGAGAATATCATTGGACTAATTTTTCCCTCTCCCGTACCCTCAATTTCTACCAGCCAATTAAAAATTGGATCTTGGCAACAATAAATATTCTAATACATTATGAAAGAGACCCAAGACAATGTGCCTATAATCCAGACATGCTGGTAACCTTCTCCTTCTCTAACAGCTGGCCCAGCACAACTTTGGCATTAAACTAAAGCTGGAAATCAAGAAGCCCTTCTGGAGGACTATTTAAAACAGTGTGTTAGCGCCTTGGCACTCAAGGCTCTGGAGAGCTCTGCATATGTGTTCTCTCGGGTTTGACCTTGAAATTTTAATCAGGACCTTGTAACTGAGGCCTGTTTTAGCTATGGCTTGCTTGCCAAATGGCACAAATTTATTTGACTTGCCCCAATAAACTCTATGCTTTTTTTTAAGACTCTGGATCAAGTGACCTCTTAATTTAGCCATCTTGCTGCTTGACAACCACTCTCAGAAATTCATATTTATAGCATGCCCATCAGGGATTTGGCCCTCTGCCACATTCACTGGGATTTACATGTCAGAACTTCTCTGCAGACGGGGGAATAATAAACAAAGGACATGAAGATTTCTCAAGCCCAATGGCAAAATTTAAAAAGAAGCCTATTTCCCCTCTCTAGAAACTTTTGGGGACTTCCCCAAGTTGATATGGCAGCTTCCCCGGGCAAGCTGGCTCCCCACAGTAAGAAAACCCTGCTTCAGTGGGCTGCATCCAATGGCCTTCTTTACTAGTACCTCCCAGTAAAGAAGACTTTGCTTTTGCTTGGAAAAACCCCAGGGTATTGTGGGTGTTACATAACAAAGGAGTGTGTGTGTGTGTGTGTGTGTGTACACACACATGCACACAACTTAGTTTTCTCATATTACACCCGTGTTGTATCACCCAGGGAACCCACTGACTCCCAGAGAAGGAATCCTATCCACACACAGATGTCTGTTGGGACACAGACTCCAGGGTCTTAGGCAACTGTCATTAAATGAGGAAACAAGGCAAATGACCTTGAGAATGTGTGAGGTGCTCTTCAAGATTTAGGGCTTCGCCTACAAAAACTTCACCCAAACGGTCGCGGGTGGTGAAATTTTCATTGCACAAATGGAATGTGACGTTTTTCAGAGTTAATGATGATTGAACAAGTTGAAAGTGAAAGGCAAACCTTCTCAAGCCGGGGGAGGCTGGCCGTTTGATCATCCCATGGCAAGATGAACTTGCTGTTTGACCACAGGCAATAAAAAGAAGTTGTCTTTGGTTTCTCAGCTGGAGGACAAATGAGAACCAGGTGCAGGGAGATTTTTAAACAGTTGACATTACTAACTGACTTTCCCCCTCACCAAAGAAAGGGTTAATCATAGTGACCATTGCTTCTCAGTATGTTTACCTCCAGATAAACATGAATCTATTAAGTAAATCATCAAAACCTGCCAATTTGTGTGAAGCATTAAAGGTTGTTGCTTTGTTTCTCATTTTCACTCTTTTAATTGCTTTAATCATTACTTTATTTACCAGTCAGGTCTGCCTTCTCATTAAAGCAAGAAAATTCCATAACATTTAATTTTAAAATCGATGTGGTAATAACAGGTCCTGTTGCCAGAGGAAGCAGTTGGAAAAGTCGTTTATAAATTTTATTTGTCAGCACCCAGACGTTAACATTGGTCAGAATTACTTTAACACCTCAGACTCCCACTCTTCAGTAACTCAGTCCTCATTCAACACAGCCCTTTATCCCCCCCTTTTTTTTGTTCTATTTTTTTATTGAATTCATTGGGGTGACATTAATTAATACAATTATATAGGTTTCAGATGTACAATTCTATAGTATATCATCTGTATATTGTATTGTGTGTTCACCACCCCAAGTCAAGCCTCCTTCCATCACCATTTATCCCCCTTCCCCCCTCCTACCTCCCCCACTGATCCTGTCCCTTGATCCTCTTTAACACCACTATTCCAAAGACACTTCTCCTTCACTTCCTTTCCTGAACTCTCTGCAGCCAGCAGTTGGAAGTTCATTTTTAACAGGTTGGGAACCTGGTACCTAAACATGGGCTGCTACATAGTCTTTCCTCTCCCTCCCACAAAAGAGTGAGTTTCTATTCATAATAGCGAATCAATGAGCTGGTTTTTATTGTTATTGTTACTGTTGTTAATCCTCACCCAAGGATATTTTTCCATTGATTTTTAGAGGGAGTAGAAGGGAGGGGAGAGACAGAGAAACAACTATGTGAGAGAGACACATCAATTGGTTGCCTCCCACATGTACCCTGACTGGGGCTGGGGATCAACCAGAACTGAACACAGGACACTTCAGTCCATGGACCAACGCTCTGTCTACTGAGCCAGACCGGCTAGGGCAGTGAGCTGGTTTTTATTAGCATGTCCAAACTGAGCATCACCTCCCCACTTTACCCCTGACCGACTGGGTGGGGTGGCCCAGTTTCTCTGAGCTGAAGTATGAAGGAAGATGAGCTAGGAGCTCTCCCTGATATCCTTGGTCTCTATAAGGCTCTATAAGACTGAAGGTCCAAGGCTATAGGTCTTCTGAGGAAAAAAAAATTCGCTCTGCACTTGAAAGACTACCTTGTATGCCCTGGCCCATGTTGCTCAATGGTTATAGTGCCCTGTGCACCAAAGGGTCTTGGGTTCGATTCCCAGTCAAGGGCACATACCTGGGTTGCAGGCTCAATCCACAGCCCCCAGTCGGGGTGTCGGGGTGTATGTGAAAGGCAACCAATTGTGTCTCTCTCACATCAATGTTCTTTTATCTTTCTCTCCCTCTCTCTCCCCCTCCCTCCCTCCCTTCCACTGTTTCTAAAAGTCAATGAAAAAAACATCCTCGGGTAGGAATTAACAAACAAAAAAAGGATACTTTGTGTGGTATATAATTTATACCTCAAGATGATTGTGTGTACATGTTTGTGTGAGTGTGTGTCTAGTTACCTGCCTACCTACATGGCCAGACTACATCTTTTTAGTCTCTTTTGGTAAATTCATTGCCCTAAATATTTTCTTGTTGTTAAATAAGCCAGTATAACAAGAGCTAGTTTCAACCCAAGAGCTACATCTGGATCATCTGGTTTTCTCTAGACATGGGTAAATGTCCTGTACAGTCCAGCTGATATAAATCTCATAAGGTCTGCATCCAATCAGGTAAAGCTTGGAAGGAAAACATTCAAACTGTACATAGCAAGAAGGAAGAGCAGGTATAACCCATGTGTTTCCTCTCTGCACAGCTGGCACAGCTAGCATGCCTCTCGTGAAGGCTACATATTTTCTGTTGGTGATGTGTCAATTTGTGAGATGAATTATCCCCAAGAATAATGACCTGGTAGAAGGCAGTCAACAGACATCCACCAACCATAAAAGGATTCCCTGAATGACCAGCCTGGGCGGTTTTATAGTCTCTTTCCTGCTCATTTTCAGTTTTCCTCATTTCTCTGAGTTGAACTCTGATACCGTTCCTTTATAAGGGTAAAATAGAGCAAACCAATAAAAATACCATGGCTTGTTTCCCAAAGTCGTGTGCCTTGACTCCAGCCTGCGGCCGTGATTGCACATCTGACTGAGCAGGTTGCCAAGGAAGTCCATCTTCCTATGTGCAAATAGCGTGCTTGCAACATCAGTTTCTGGCGATGGGAGTAACTGCTTTTCCTAAGACGTGTATCAGTAACACCCAGCCTTGCCCGGCAAACGCTTGAAGTCATAGATCAGCTCCACAAGGTCGTGATTAAAATGAAACAGCCAGGAAGTGGTGGAAATCTGGAGGAAAGGCTTCCCAGGACCTGTCCTTCCTCCAATCAGGGAGACGCGGTGATTGTTCACAGGCGGAGTGATTAGGTTTTCGTATTTCTGTTTCCTTGACGCAAACCCCGCTGACTGATAAGAATTGTATGAACAATTTAAAAGCTGTTCCCTGTGAATCAGAGGTTTAGCTGAATTGAAAGGGAGTGTTTTCACACACATCAGTTACTCAGAATAATGGGATGTAAAGCTAGGGAGATGAGGATGGAGGATTTTTTTCAAACGCTTTATTTATGATTATTTTTGTAAGTCACGGGAGGAAGCTGGTCCTAAAGCGTGCCCTGGATTCAGTGTAATCTCCAGCAACACAGCAGGGAGTAGAGTTGAACTGCTGTGGAGAAGTCACTTTGTGCCTTGGCACTTGCTAGTTAATACATTTAAGACTTCACTTAAACCTTCCTAATATGTACATATCAGACTCAGGTGGCGACATTGCTCGACTCTTATTGTAATGGGTTTTGTGGGGTTTTTTTAGTTAATATATTCATTTAAGTAAAAATGTGAGCTTGTGGTTTCAGAGTATTTCTTTTCTTCAGCAAGCCCTCGTACCATTGGGGTAATTAGGAAATGACAGTATAGGGGGTGTAAACTGATTCA